GTTTATATTCCTTCAATAGGAATCGCCGAAGCCTCGATTGAAGATTTATAAAAACAAAAATTGAAAAGAGAAAGTTCAATCACCGTTTATACCAAGTATTAAATTGTTGTTCAGAATCAAAGAAGCCAATTTGAATCCATAAGATTTTATGTGGAAAATTGCTGAAGAAAAACTTTCGGCAAATAAATGAGAAGATAACAAAATGCCAAGTACATATTTAAGGATCGGTTGAAATTCCCAAATGAATGTTAGATACGTATATGTAGAAAATTAATGAATTTTGTTATTAATTCTCCAGATTATTATTTTAGAACATTTCGAAGAAATTTTTAGAGGATTTCAAAGAAAAAGAATTAATTTAAATTAGACTAAAAAATTTATTATTTTTATCTTATTGTGAATTTTAAATTGTCACTTTTAGTGTTACTTCCCTTTTGAAAGTGTCACTTTTGGGGTGTCACTTTTCGGAAATTCTTATATTACTCTGAAGTCATTGACAAAACATTTTACGATGAAATCATGACAAAACATATTACGAGAAGTCATGACAAAAACATTTACGATGAATCATGACAAAGCAATATACGATGAAGTTTTGACAAAACATTTACGATGAAGTTTTGACCAAAGCATTTTACGATGAAGTCATGACAAAACATTTACGATGAAATCATGACAAAACATATACGAAGAAGTCATTGACCAAAGCATTATACGATGAAGTTCATGAAAAACATTTAACGATGAAATTCATGACAAAACATATACGAGAAGTACAATGACAAAACATTTAAACGATGAAATCATGACAAAAACATTTACCGTTTCATTTACGATGGAATAAAATCATGCAAAACATTTACGATGAAATCATGACAAAACATTTACGTTTCCTTACGATGAAATCTGACAAAACAATTTGACGTTCATTACGATGAAGTTTTGACAAAAGCATTTACGATGAAGTCATGACAAAGTCATATACGAAGAAATCATGACAAGGCATATACGATGGGAAGTCATGACAAAGCATATACGAAGAAACATGACAAAGCATATACGATGAAAGAAATCATGACAAAACATTTACGTTCATTACGATGAAATCATTGACGAAAACATTTACGTTCATTAGATGAAGTTTTGACAAAAGCATTTACGATGAAGTCATGACAAAGCATTATACGAAGAAGATCATGACAAAGCATATACGATGAAGTCATGACAAAGCATATACGAAGACATCATGGACAAAGGCATATACGATTGAAAAGACAAAATCATGAAAAAATTTACGTTCATTACGAATTGAAGTGTTTTGACAAAGCATTTACGTGACAGTCAATGACAAAAGCATTACGGAAGAAGAAATCATGGGACAAAGCATAAACGATGAAGTCATGACAAAGCATATACGAAAGAAATCATGACAAAGCATATACGATTGAAAGAAAGTTCATGGACAAAACATTTTACGTTCATACGATGAAATCCAGACCAAAACATGTACGATTGAAGAAATCGATGACAAAAAACATTTTACGATGAAAATCATGACAAAACATTTACGTTCATTACGATTTGAAATCATGACAAGCATATACGATGAAGAAATCATGACAAAACATTTACTTCAGTTACGATTGAAAATTCATGACAAAAGCAAATTATACGATGAAGAAATCATGACAAAACATTTACGTTCATTACGAGTTTTGATTCATGACAAAAACATTTACGGTTCATTACGATGAATTTTGACAAAGCATTTACGATGAATGGTCATTGACAAAGCATATACGAAGAAAATCATGACAAAGCATAGTACGATGAAGTCATGACCAAAGCATATACGAGAAATCGTGACAAAGCCATATACGATGAAGGAAATCATTGACAAACATTTTCGTCATTACGATGAAATCATGACAAAACATTTACGATGAAGAAATCAATGTACAAAACATTTCGTATGAAATCATGACAAAACATTTACGTTCCATTACCGTATGAAATCATGACAAAACATTACGATGAAGAAAGAAATCATACAAAAACATTTACGATGAAGTTTTGACAAAACATATACGAAGAAGTTTGTCAAAAGTGGCTATGTCGTATACAGTAATGGTTAGTCATGAATTTTTTCCTTAAGTGTTGGCGTTAGTGTTTGAAAAATAAATGTTTGTCCTACATGAAAGCCGTTACACAGCGTTTTGAATTTGTTTATGAATAAAAATTACACTCTTGTTTTCTGTATCGATCATACAAACATAATGCATCACCTGTTTTTGTAAAGTTTATATGAAAGTTTTCGATAGTTCAAGACCTGATATAATAATAGAATGGCGTCCTCATGCTCACATAGTAGTAGAACTTCAAACAATGCTTACCATTAAGCGTTATTTCAACAGCTTCGTAATATTTCATCAACGAAACTCATAAACTATATCGCCATAACTTGCTTTTATTTCTATGTTTTCAGATCTTAGAACACCAACGAAGGTTTGAGATTCTGTTGTCCGTCTCTAATCATGATTTATATGGTCTTATTTCTTTCCAAAATTGTTTGGATTTTCAATCCCACTG